CAGATGGTTTAAGATCTCTGCAAGTTCTACCCTTAAGTCTCTAAGGCAGCATTCTTTGTTCAGAGCTTCCCATCAATCCAGATACTTGAAAAACCAGCAATGCTCGCCTGAGGTACATCAGGTATCAGGGTGGCATGTGATAGGACCATGATAGAAGAGACAGCCATCTGCTCTCCTCCAGTGGATCATTCTTGGGGTTTAGGCCTGCCACCAGGCCCCAAGGCAGATGGTGTCCTTTGGCTGCAAGAATCACCGAGACAAGCTGGCGAGGAATGTCTGATTATTCAGAAAAAAATCCACGGTTATAAAGGTTCAGGAAGGAGAAGGCAGGGGGTCATCTTCTGGCCCCCTGCTCACCAAAGACACCGTGATTGGCTATATGGCACATCTATCTCCCTTGACCTTCTGGTGATGTTCCATGTGTATTCACCTTGACCTTCTAGCCATGTCGAGGGTCACACTTCATGTGTAGGCCTGGGAGTTGTGCCTCAAGCTCTGAGTCACTCCCACCAGGTATCACGGCAGGGCTCTGAGGCAATTGCCCATAGATTACTGTATGTGGAAGACAGAAAGAGGTAAGTTATTTGCTTGATTTTGTTATATCAAGATGGGTATAGATGTCTTGTAAGCAAAGAGAAGGAAGGCCCTTCTGATCCACATAGAAGACTTCTTGGGTCACCCTGATTTCTACTCCAAAAGTAAACAAAAGCCACGGTGCTGATGTAAGCACAATTCTGAGACTAGTCATGACATTTTCAGATTGCTAAACAGTAAGCAGGTCTTGAGTTCCGACTTGGCTGTGATCCTCACGTGGCAGTGGTGGCTGTTGTCTCCTTATATATGGCCCAGCCAACCTCTTGACATCAAGGTCTGTAGGTATTATCCTGGATGGCGGGGAGACTAATATCTATTGGCCATAGATATTGTTTTAAATGAGTGATTCTCAACTCGGGGCAGCTTTGCCCTCAAGAGGGCATTTCTTATAACCTGGAGATGTTTAGATTGTTGCTACTAGAGATGGGAATGATATTGGCCACTGGCAAGTAATTGGGTGTTGAGGGCTCAGCCCTCATGACTGAGTTTGTGCCTTGATGTACTAATAGGTAATGAAAAGAGAGAGCTGATAATTAGGAGAGGCTGTCTCAGGGAGTCCAGTCACCTGGTGAGGCCCTTGGGACTTCACAGATTCCCCAACTGTAAATGTTTCTCAGTAGATGCTAATATCATAGTATTGGACTTTCAAATCCTGGATTAGATACACTTCAATATAGCTTCTTTTGGTACCTTGAAAATTTTGCCACATTTATTCTATCTTTAAGCAATTGTGTGTGTGTCTCCTTTTTTTGTCTCTCCTCTTTTTTTTTTAAAGATTTATTTTTATTGGAAAGGCAGAGAATGAGGAGAGACAGAGAGGAAGGTCTTGCATTTGATGGTTTACTCCCCAGGTAGCCACAACGGCTAGAGCTGAGCCAATCTGAAGCCAGGAGCTCTTCCAGGTCTCCCACACGAGTGCAGGGTCCCAAGGCCTTGGGCTGTCTTTGACTGCTTCCCTAGGTCACAAACGGGGATCTGGATGGGAAATGGGGCTGCAAGGATTAGAACCGGCACCCATATGGGATCCCGGCCCATTCAAGGAGAGGACTTTAACCACTACACTGTTGTGCCAGACCCAATATGTTGTCTCATAAAAACAGATATATTAATATCACAAAGTGATGGATTCATGACCAGGATCATAACATGGGGAAGGAAGGGAATATTGTCATGTATATAGTATAATTCAATTAAAGTGTATACCAGGTGCTATAATATCTACATAATTTTTACATTCTGTATTAATGTCCACAACTAAGAGAAGCTTTCTGGGTCTGACATTTCACTTAGCATAATGATCTTAAATTCCAACCAATTTGTGGTAAATGCCAGCATTCTTTATTATGACTAATATTTCCTTATATATACCACATATTCTTTGTCCAGCCATCTGTTAGGGAAAATCTTGGTTGAGTCCATGGCTTTACTATTCTGAATTTAGCAGCAATAAACATGCAGGAATTCCTTTTATATGCTGATTTCACTTCCTTTAGATATATTTAACAGAAATGGATTAGATGGATCATATGGTGCATATATTCTGAGGGGTCTACTGTTTTTCCTAAGAGTTATATCAATTTGATTTCACACCAGCAGTGTATTGGAGTGCTTTACAATCTTTCCAGAATGCTATTTTTTTTTCAAATAATCACTGTGACTAGAATAAAATGATAAAGATTTTAGTATTATTTATATTTGCATTTTCCCTGATGGCTAGTGATCCTGAGCATTTTTTTGAGATCTATTGACCACTTTTTTTTTTCTTTGATTGGAAAGGCAGATGTACAGAGAGAATCCTTCCATCTACTGCTTCACTCCCCCAGTGACTGCAACAACCAGAGCTAAGCCAATCCGAAGCCAGGAGCTTCCTCTAGATTTCCCATGCAGGTACAGGGTCCCAGGGCTTTGGGTCATCCTCGATTGCTTTCCCAGGCCACAAGCAGGGTGCTGGAAGTGGAGCAGCTGGGAAATGGACCTGTATGGGATCCCAGTGTGTGCAAGGCAAAGATTTAGCCACTAGGTCATCACTCTGGCTCTGTTGGCCATTTGTATTTCTTGCCTCAAACAATTTCTACTCGTGTTCTTCACCTAGTTCTCAACTTTTTGATTGTTGCTGAATTTCTTGAGGTCCTCAAATGTTCTTTTATCGAGATGGGTAGTTTGAAAAAATTTGTGCCCCATTCTATCAGTTGCCTCTTCACAGTCGTTTCCTTACCTTGATGTAATCCCATTTGCCTATTTTTTGCTTTTATTATGTTTTTAGCATCCTACTCAAGAGATGTTTGCCTAGACTATTCCCTTGGAATATTTCCTGTTTTCATGTAGCAGTTTGATAGTCACAAGTCTAGAGTTGAAAATACAGATCCCCCTTTAGTTTATTTTTCTCTATGCAATAAGGTAGGGGTCTCCTTTCATGATTCTGCGTGTGGAGATTCAATTTTCACAACATAATTTGCTTGAGAGCATTTACTTTCTCCAGGGAGTTATTTGAGCTCAGTTATCAAAAAATTGGTTATGGTTCATGATTTATTTCTGGGATTTCTATCCCATAAATCCACATGACTATAACAACCCCCGTGTCAAGCTGTGTTGGTTATAATGCCCTGTATTATGTCTTAAAATTGGTATGATGATGCTTTCAGCTTTGCTTTTATTGCTTAATATTACTATTTGAGGTATTATGAAATTTAGGGTTTTTTTTTCCCCCTCAATCTGTAAAGAGTGTCCTTGCATATTCTGAATTTGAATGTCCAGACCTTTCTCCAAATTGGGAATTTTTATGCTATTTTCACACTGAATTGGTTTTCTACACCATTCTTTTTTTCCATTCAGGAATTCCAAAATCATGCATTCCATCATTTGATGGTATGCTAGGGATCTAAAACCCTACTTTAGTTATTTGAAACTTTCAGATTTTTAAATTCTACCTAATAGAGGCTTCTGTTAATAGAATAAATAAGCACATTGGAAGCTTTAGGTCCTTCATTTCTAATATTTTTTTCAATATCTCCATCTGTCAGCTGAATCTCTCATCCATGTCATGTACTAATTTTCTAATTTCATTGAGCCATTTTCTTGTATCTCTAACCTTAGAATTATTCTTTGAATTTTTTCTCAATTATTTCATCAGTCTCCCTTTCTTTGCAATCCAATATTCATGAGAATATACATTTTGGGGAGTCATATTGCCTTGCTTGTTCATCTTCCTGCATATTTGGGGAAATGTTTGTTCCTATCCCTTTTAAAGGATGGTTTTTACTGATTGAAGTCTTATCCCTGGACATGAGCCTGTGGATACTGGTGAGATGGAGTTCTTTAGTGCCAGCTGGATTTTACAGCAGAGTCCCCCTATGCCTTTATGTGACATAGTTGATACTAACTATAGTAGGGATCTGAAATGTTCCTGTGGCTTAGTGTGGTCATTGAAATTCCTGCTGTTCAGCTCTCTAGCTGTCTTCCAAGGCAAGGCCTGGTATGATGAGCTTCCCAGATGTTAACAGCAGGCCTTACTGGTATTGTGGGTATGGCAAGTACAAAGATTCCAAGTCAATATCCAAATCAGGTGCTGGAGTCTGGAGAGTGGAGTGCAGGCTCTAGGAGCTGGGTGGACTTAGAGACTCCTAGATGCTTCCCAGATCCAAGCTTCAAGGGTTGCATTGATGCTGGAGGGAGGAGGTTGGATCTATAGAATGTTTTGGATTTGTACAAGTGGTTTAGACTCTAACAGCTGGTAAAATGTCTTGGGTCACTCACTAAGGGTTGTACACAGTTATCTCAAGTTTCAGCAGAAATTGTGCAATAGCACCTAAATTCTTGCTGTTTAAACAGAAAAGGCTGTGGGCTGGAGCCTAGAACCCTGAGGCCCCTGATAGGCTGGTACAGATTCCTGAAACTCTGAGTCAGAGACCCCAGCAAGCTGCATTGTTACACACAGTACTGAGAGCCCACTTGTAAGTTCCTGTGGGTAAGGTGTTGCTGAGCTTGGGGCAATGCAGAAGGATTAAGCCAGACTAGGGACATTTGAAGGGTGAGGCTAGGAGCTCCAGTCCCTGTTGGTGCTAGGGCAAAAGTCTAGAACTTAAAGTTATTCTCAGGCTAGGGAGATCATATTGGAGCCCCATGGTGTGCCATATTGCCAGCTCTTCACTGTACCACAGTGGCCAACTGGTTGACTGCTGGGGGTAAGGGCACTGTGCTAGTGTACTCCAGCAGCCTTGCCATGAGCAGAGTCCAGAGTACCAAGGTACTCCCTAATGTGTCCTCAGTAGGCAGAGAATTCTATCTTGGCAAAATGGGCAGGAACCCAGTACTAATATCCAATTTCTTAAGTGGTGGGAAGAGAGAAGGTTCTGGGAAGAGGGCCATGCCCAGTTCTGACAGGGTGAGACATTTTATTTCTAACCCAGCATCCTGCCCCCACTGTCTCCTGCGGCACTGAACACTCTGCAGTCCTGGCTCCCGGGGCTGCATCTGCCCTGCTGCCAACAGCTGGACCTGGGATCCTCAGTGGGCTCGCCGGAACACAGGAATCTCTGGGAAGATGACAGGTAAGGTCCTCTGTTCCTCACTCTGTGGGTTGCTACAGTGACTCCAAGTCAGTTGTTTCCATTCTTTCTCTGTACTTCTCTTTGCTGTCTTCAGTCTATTCTCTCAAGCTCTCTTCTCTCCTGGCTCACTCTGTTCTCTCTCCTTTCTTATCTCTCTTCTCTTGCTTTGTTCATGCTGTTTCCCCTCTAGCTCTCATCTCCCTCACTACTTATCTCTCTAGGTCTCTTTCCTCTGTGCCTTGTCTTTACTCTCTCTCTCTTCTCCCACTCTTTGTCTCCCTCTCACTGTCTTTGCTCTTTATTTTTTCTGTCTCCTTTCTATACTTTCTTTCACTTTCTTCACGCTCATCTCTGCCTTCTTTGTTCTCTAAGCTCTCTTTATTCCCTGTCTTCTCTAGCTCTCTTCTATTCTCTATCTCTATGCATGCCTCTTTTCTGCTCTCCTGCCTTCTATTTCTCTCACTCTATCTCATCCCTCTATTCTCTTTATCTTCTCCCTGGCTCTTTTCTGTCTCTGTACTTTCACCATTGTCTCTCCAGTACCTTTGCTCTCTCACTCTCCTCTCTGGCTCTCTTGTCCATCTCTGTCCTCTCGTGCTCTGTCTTTTCTCTTGCTCTCAATCCTTTGTCTCTTATTGACCTTCACTCTTTCTTCTCTTATGTCTTATTTGTTCACTATCTCTGCTCCCACTCTCCTGTATTCCCTCTCGTGTCTACTGTAATTCCTTTCCCTCTCTCCATTCTCTATCTTCTCTTTGTTCCCTTACTATTTTCTCTCAGACCTCTCTCCTCTCCTTTTCTCTCTGCTCTCTCTTAAGCTCTCCTTTGTCACCTTTCTTTGTTCTCTCATCTCTGTGCACTCTCCTCTGTCTTCACGCTCTTTACACTCTGCTCTTCCCTCTCCCCAACCCCTTTCCTCCAGTCATGTGCATCAAAGTCCATGGAGTGCTCCTCACTGCATTGCTCGTCAGTGTTGGTTGGATTCCTGTCTGGGAAAAAAATAAAAGGGTGAGTATTCTTTGCAGATGGGCTCTGTCTACCCTCTCCTGCTCACCATTTCCCCTCAATAGGGAATCTGTTGGCCTTGGGGCTTCAGGTACTGCTGGCTTGACTTTGTTCCTTTCTCTCTATATTTCTATGGATATTTTTGACTACCCACTGTCTTTGCATTTACATGAACATGCAGCTGCTCTGGGCTTCATCAGTAGAATAGAAAGTGAACACTGGATTTCTCCATATAAGTGATACTGAACCTGTTATTATGACCTATTTGGATGCAATATATAATGATTTTGGCCATCTTGGCAAAACAGTGGGATAAGCCACAGCTTGCAATGCCAGCAGTACTGAAGGGAATGACAACTCTACCACATTTGGATTCTATATGGGAAACATAGCCAAGGTTGGTGTTACTGGGCACCATTTCTTTGGAGTTAGTGCCATATCAGTGGAATATGAATTCATATACCTGCCCTATCATCTTCATTCTTCCCTCCATGGGTCTCATGTATATATCTGGTGCTAAGATATTCAACCAACAGTTTTCATTTCTGAAAAAAAAAAGATGCTGTATTGAAATGTTTTTCTCAGCACTAGGCACACAGAGACTCACACTCCTAGTTCTCTCATACCAAGTAACTTCTGGTCCCTAGGATTACCAGATTTGGCTTCTAGTACTAGTGGTGTGAGATAATGCAATATACTTTAAGTAAACTTACTTTTGACCAAGAAGGAACAACTTATCTGTACATTTCCATGTGCCCTATCCAACCAATGCTTGGAACAAGTCATTTTGAATAGGCGTGATCAAGAAATGATAGTAAGACTGAGAAACAAGTAAGTAGCTCTCTTCTATTCTCTTCTAGCTTAGAATTGTCTGGTGGATTGGGACATAAACTTTTCTACTCTGCAATCATAAAGTATGTTCTTCAATTTCCTATTTAGCCAAATACGCCCCCTGCAAGAAAGGCTATGGTAGTAGAAAGGAGGAGGGGGGAGAGGGAAGAGGAGAGTGCACAGAGAACACAGATGGAAATTCAAAGAAATAAATGCATGCAATGCCAGATTCCAAAAGTTAGTGAACAGCCTGCTTCCGCGGGAGACCTCCTTTCATAAACCCTAGAGAGGAATGATGCTCCTCTGATCAATTGCAGCCTAAATGGCAGACACCCTGCTGATGTTCCTGTGTTCTCCTACCTCAGCAAAATAACAGGGCCTGGTAAGCTGGGGATGTTTAGCTTTCAATTCCACCTCTTCAGCCTTCACAAATGCACACAGAAGGCGAGTTGCTTTCTCTTGTGAACCCAAGATTCCAGCTATTTCTTCAAAAAGACAAAAGGTAAGTGAATCCTTTGCTTAGGTCATACCCAGACTATTGCACTTAATAAAAAATGTTTTATCTACCTCTTCTTCTCTCAGGAAGATGTTTTTGGCAGGGAAACTGAGTTTAGTGAGTTCTTTAAATTACAATGTCCTATGATGCCCTAAGAAGACAGCTTCAAAAAATCTCAAGGCCAGAATTGTGGAATAATAGGTAAAGTTGCCACCTGCTGTGCTGGTAGTATTTACTAGGGGTGCTGGCTTATGTCCCAGCTGCTCCACTTCCCAACTCAGCTCCTTCTTTAAGGCCTGGAAAAGCAGAGGAGAGCCCAAGTCTTTGGGCTCCTATACCTATGAGAGACCCAGAAGTAGCTCCCGACTTTGGATTGGCTCTGTTCTGGCCATTGTGGACATTTGAGGAATGAGTGAGTGGATGGAAGATCTCTTTCTGTTTCTCCCTATCTCTTTGTAACTTCGTCTTTCAAGTAAGTAAAGGTTTCTTCTTTGTTTTGTTTTTTAAAGCTCATTTATTTTACTTAAAAGTCAGGGTTAGAAAAAGAAAGATGGTGAGCTTCCATCCACTGGTTCACACTCCAAATAACAATGACTGGAGTTGAGCCAGTCTGAAGTCAGGAGCTTCTTCTGGATCCCTCCACCCTCTCCCCCATTGGCGCAAGCTTACAAAGACTTGATCCATCCTTCACTGCTTTCCAAGGCATTAAACAAGGGATGTGTGACAGCAGGACTCTGTTCCTATATGAGAGGGTGGTGCCAAAAAAGAGGATTAGTCCAATATGCCTCCATGGTGGCCCTAACCAAGTTTTTTTAAAAAATAAAAATTAGAAATCTATTTCTATTACCCTGGGAAACCTGGCCTAAAATCCAGGCTAACTTTTACAAAAAGCACTAAAGTTTGTAAAGGTTTCACATCAGTAACAGACAACCAACTAGCTATAAATCATACTGGCAGAACAAAGAGTACCATGTCCAGTTACTAATAAAAGCTCACATTTATCATAAATACAGTACATTCACTCAAGGAGATATTGCAAAGGTTTTTTCCCCAGTCTAACTGGTTCTATTCTTTTAATACCCACCATCTGGGAAGCAACTGAACACACACTCCTTAAAGGGGATTCCACCAGCAATGCATCTTTTTCTAACTATGCTCATACTGATTGATGAAATTGTTTGTTCCAGAATTCAACAGTTTCTCAAAATAATAATGGACCTTCATAAGCCATCGACACCAATGAGACTTCTCTGGCACATGAGCTACAACTCTAACACAAGAAGATGCTTCTGAACTCACAATAAGCAGTGGTACACCAAAAAATGTGCATTCAGAAAATGCGATGGACCAGCATCCTTCAATGCCTCCATGATAATTAGGATCAGAAATCTGTGGGGTGGAGTGGGGAGAAGAATGACATGGGATACAGAGGTCATAAACCACAAGACTTTGTCTCATGTCCTTAAATCCCATTTGTCGAGATACTCCCTTTCTGGGGATGCTTTATTTTTACCCGGGACATGCAGAAAAATCTCCTTGTAAACATGTATAATAAACTCCGCAGGGAATTTTGTGGGCATCTCATAAAATTTCCAGCTAATTACATCTCATAAAAGAAGGTGCTGGGAGGTGCTTGCCTCTCTTACAGCACCAGAAAAACAGGAAGTTTTTCATTCCTTCCTTCCTCCACCCCTTGTCTCTTCCTGGTCTACTCTACTCTCTAACTATGCCCACCTGTGTATGTGTGTTTTGTTCTTACCTTTAAAATAAACATTATCACTTTGTGCATCATGGATGTGCCTGTACTTCAAAAGCATTTTTAAGTCAAAGGTGAAGACCTGGAAGAGAAACATAGAGCCCATATCTTCCACATCAAAACACAGGATCCAGAGACACAAAAGAGGCCACAAATGTGTAGAGACAGGAGCTGGAGTGACAAGAAGGCTGGGAACAGCGATGCAGGGGGAAAGAGTAAAAGACACCAGAGTGAGAGCAAGACATGGGTCAGGGTAGCAGGGTACACTGAGAGGAACAATCACAAGAGGTGAGTCAGAGAGTAACAGTTGGAGATTCAGATTATAGGGCCAGAGAGATAGGACACAGAGGTAAGTAGAGACCAAGTGGCAGGGTACAGGGTGAGACAAAGGGGGTATTGGGAGAGACAGGTGGTCAGATTGACAGACATGGAACTGGGGTGCAGCTCAAAGAGGGAGAATGAGATATGAATATGGAGACGGGAGAGGATGAAAGATAGATTCAGGCTACAAGGGCTGGGGTGCACAAGAGGTTAGAGCGCAGGCCCATAAATGAGAGAAGTGCAGGTGAGAGACAGATGTGTCCAGTTAACCTCACAGAGTGAGACTGACGGCGGGGGAGAGGGGGTAGGATGGAGAAGGAAAGATATGAAAAAGGTGGAGACACAGCCCAGAGAGCAAGCAATAAGGGAAACGAGGCAGAGAGACAAGGGCAAGAATATATATCATTTATCAAAATTGAACTCAAGCTCTAGAAAGCCTCAACAGATCAACAAATATTGATGCTAGTGAAGGTTAAACTCAAGGCTTCAAAACCAGATCTCTTCAATGCTAATTTCTGCTAAATTTTTAAGGAATCATCTCCAATTTTTAATTCTGTTCCAAAAGATTAACAGTGGGAATCTTTCAAATCCTAGGACATTGCCTTAATTCTAAAACCAAACAGGACACATTAAGAAAAGTTTAGCCTAATATTCCCAGTGATCATTAATGCAAAAATTCTCAACAAAATACTAGGAAACCAAATCCAATCGCACACTAAGTAAGTCAATCACAGGACCAATGTCGTGGTACATCAGGTTAAGCTGATGCATGTGATGTCAGCATTCCATATGAGCAAAAGTCCTCAGCTACTCTATTTCCAATCCATCTGCCTGCTGCCCTGCCTCACATAGCAGCCGAACATGGACCAAGTACCTGGGACCCTGCCATTCTTGCAAGACCCAGACCAAGCTTTTGTCTCTCCAGCCAGACACTTCCCCTGTCAATGTCACCATTTGGTAGAATGGAAGCATGCTTGTCTTTCTCTGTAACCATAATTATAGGAAAAGATCACTCACCTTTCTCAACTGGGGTTCATGGCAAAGGAGCAGGGATGATCTAACATATACAAACCTATAAGTCAGTATGTCATATCAATAGCATGAAGGATAATTATAATTTCAACATAAAAAATATTCATGTTCAAGACCTGTTCGTGATAAACACCCTTAAGAAATTTGTTACAGGTCCCGGCGTGATGGCGCAGTGGTTAAGGTCCTCGCCTTGCACGCCTGGGATCCCATATGGGCGCTGGTTCTAATCCAGGTGGCCCCTGCTTCCCTTCCAGCTCCCTGCCTGTGGCCCGGGAAAGCAGTCGAGGATGGCCCAAAGCTTTGGGACCCTGCACCCATGTGGGAGACCCGAAGAGGCTCCTGGCTTTGGATCGGCATAGTATTGGCCCGTTGCGCTCACTTGGGGAATGAATCATCGGTCAGAAGATCTTCCTCTTTGTCTCTTCTCTCTGTATATCCGCCTTTCCAATAAAAATAAAATAAATCTTTAAAAAAAAAAAGAATGCATGAAATTTGTTACAGAAGGAACCTACCTCAGCATGAAAAAGCTATATAGGCCAAATCCACTGTTAACAACACAATGAATGGAAAAAAGGAGCATTTTTTTCCTAAAATCAAGAGCCACATAGGACATACTCTCATTCCTCTTGTTAACAACTATGGTGCTGTAAGTTCTGACCAGAGAAACTAGGCAAGAGAAATTTTTTAAATTTCTGCAAATAGGAATGGAGCAAGTATAATTATTATTGTTTGTAGATCATTTTATTGCATATAGGAAAACCTCAAGATTCTACCAAATGCCTATTTTGAATTGATAAATTCAGTAACATCATAGAATGCAAGAATCAATAAACAAAAAAATTGATAGTAAGCAGGTGTTTTACTTAACTGTTAAGACATCATCAGTGTCCTATGTTAGGGTGCTGAAATTTGAAACCTGTCTGTGATACCTGACTCCAGCTTCCTGCTGAAGCAGAGCCTGGATGGCAGTGATGGTCAGACCATTAAGTTCCTGCCAACCACCACAGAGCCCTAGGCCTGCATTCCTGGCTTCCAGTTTCAACCTCTGTCAACCTTTGGTTATCATAGGCAATGAAGCAATGAGAGAATGCTTTATTTTTGCTCTGTCGCCTCAATAAAAATTTTAATAATCAGTATCATCCTTATACACCAACAGTGAACTCACCAAGAAAAAGATTTAAGAGCAATCCTACTTACTTCAGTGACACACACACACCTTGGAATAAATGTCACCAAGAATAGTAAAGACCTGTGAAACAAAAGTTACAAAACACTAAGGAAGGAAATTTATTTCCATACTCACCAACACAACTCACAGATTCAAGGGAATGTCATCAAAGTCCCACAACATCATTTATATGATTAAGAAAACCAGACCTAAAATGCTTAGCTATTGTTTAGCTTTTTATCACTAACACTTGGATCTCCATGTCAGTCTCCCATGTGGATTCAGGGACCTCAGGACTTCAGCCATCTTCTGTTGCTTTCTCAGGCACATTGCAGGGAACTGGTTTGGAAACACAGCAGCCAGGTCTCCATTCATTATTCTGACAGAAAATGTTGGTGTCACAGGCAGTAGCTTACCTCATTGACATGGATGCCCACTTCACAGACCCCAAGCTTATGATTTAAATTCATTGTTAGTTGATTTTGTATGTGATAGAAGAGTAGGAGTCTAATTTCATTCTGCAGAGGAATATTGCATTTTCTCAACACCATTTTCAGGAGACACCTGAATATCAGCCTTAGAATATTTTGTGAAAAATCAATTGAGTGCCAATGCGTGTATTTTTCTGGGCTCCCAGTACTGTTCCATTCATTTATGTCTACTTGTTTGCAGTATCATACTGTTTTGACTGCTGTATCTTTGTACTATGTTATAGAGTCAGGTAGTTGATCGCTACCTCCTGTGAGGACAAAAGAGGCAGTGGACCACTCCCAACCTGGGTGTCACCCAGGACTCTTACCCCACACTTGAGCATTGGCTGAAGTTCCTGGCTCACTCCTAGCATCTACCCTGATTCCCAGTAAAGATCACTTATTCTACCAAGCGATAGAGGCACAGCTCAAAGAGAACAATCGTCAGAGGAGAAAGCCAATGAATCCATATTCAAGTGCCCAATAGTAAAAGAAGTTATATGAGCAACATAAACAAAGGCAATAGGACTCTCCTAAAGGAAAACAAAATGCTTCAATCATAGAATGTGAAGATAAAGAGACTGAGGATTTGCCTGACAAAGAATTTAAAAGATGATCACAAGGCTAATCAAAAACAATAGAAACAAATGTAGGATTCAGAAAATCTATACACAACCAGAATGTTCCCACAAGATTAAAATCTTGTAGAGCAATCAAATTGAACCACTAGACATGAAAAATTCAATATGCTCAAGCAAAAATACAAAGGAAAACCTTAGCAATGAACTTGGACAGGCAGAAGAAAGAATCCCTGAACAATAAGACCAATCTTTTGAAGACTCTGATTCAGACAAAAAGAAATAATAAGGAAAGACAAAACAAAACAGTGCCCAAAATTTATGAGCTACCATCAAATGGCCAACATATGAATACTGGAAGTTCCTCAGGTGTGGAAAGGGAGAATGGACTAGGAGTCCTATTTAGTAAAGTAACAATGGAAATTTTCCTTAATATGGAGAAATAAAGGGATATCCAAGTATAGGAAGCACATACAACTTCTAATAGGCATGACCAAAAACTCAATACCGCAACATATCATAGTCCAGCGTTCCACAGTAAAAGTGCTAATATAAATGAGATAGAAGAAGATACCTTTATAGGATCTCTAATTACCTTTATAACTGATTTCCCATTGAAAGTCCAACAGGCTAAAAGAGAATGACAAGATGTAGTCCTGGTTCTAAAAGAAACTGGCAACTCACAATATAATATCCAGCAAATTTCATTTACACATGAAGGCAAACTAAAGAGCTTCCAAAACAAAAAGAAATTGAAAGAGTTTGCTGCCACACAACCAGCCTTACAAATGATGCTTAAGGATGTGCTACACACAGAAATAGACAAATACCATAATCAAAGAACACAAATGTTCTTAATTTTCTAGTAAAGCTACAAAGGAAATCTAAAGCAAACAATGAGAAAATTTATGTTAAAATAATAGGACCATGTTTCAATAATAACCCTGAATATGGATAGCATAAACTCACTAAACAAAAGGTATAGCTGGGGCCCGGCGGTGTGGCCTAGCAGCTAAAGTCCTCGCCTTGAACTCTCCAGGATCCCATATGGGAGCTGGTTCTAATCCCGGCAGCTACACTTCCCATCCAGCTCCCCCCTGCTTGTGGCCTGGGAATGCAGGCGAGGACGGCCCAAAGCTTTGGGACCCTGCACCAATGTGGGAGACCCGGAAGAGGTTCCCAGATCCTGGCTTCAGACCAGCGCAGCACTGGCTGTTGCACTCACTTGGGGAGTGAACCATTGGACAGAAGATCTTTCTCTCTGTCTCTCCTCCTCTCTGTATATCTGACTTGGTAATAAAAATAAATACATCTTTAAAAAAAAAAAACAAAAGGTTTAGCTGGCTGACTGGATAATGAAACAAGACTCATTATTGGCAGTCTACAAGAAACACCTCACCAACAAAATACACACAGTCTGAGAGTGAAAAGATGGAAAAAATATAAATGCCAATGAGGAGA